GGGGAGTTTTGAACCAAGTGAGCGAGTACTTGTGGTTTGGGATCTCAATGCTAAAATGGGTAAAAATGTTGTGGAGGTAGTAGTAGGTAAACTTGGGGTGCCAGGGGTAAATGAAAATGGGGAGCCTTTAATTAAGTTATGTGTAGAAAGAGGTTTGGTAATAAACAATACATATTTTATGAAAAAGAGGATAAGTATACGAAATATGATGTAGCACGTAATGAAAGTAGTTTGTTAAATTATGTATTGCTGGATAAAAGGTTGATAGGTAGACTTCAGGATGTACATGTTTATAGAGGGGCAACTGATATATCGGATCATTATTTAGGTGTAGCTACAGTTAGAGTAAGAGGTAGATGGGACAAAAGAAAAATGGCAACAGCAAGTAAGAGAGAGGTGAAAGTGTATAAACTAAGGGAGGAGGAAGTTTGGGTGAGATATAAGCGACTATTGGCAGAAAGGTGGGCTAATGCAAGTAAGTAGGAGGGTGGGTGGAGGAGGAAAGAGGAGTGATTGATGGAATGATGAAGCAAAAGGTGTGATAAAAGAGAAAAAGGTAGCTTATGAGAGGTTTTTACAAAGCATAAGTGTTATAAGAAGAGCAGAGTATATGGAGAGTAAAAGATAAGTGAAGAGAGTAGTGAGAGAGTGCAAAAGGAGAGCAGATTATAGAGTGGGAGAGGCACTGTCAAGAAATTTTAATGAAAATAAGAAAAATTTTGGAGATAAACAAGAAAGCCTAGGGAATGAATGGATTTGTCAGTTAAAAACAGAGTAGGGGAGTTAGTAGATGGGGAGCTGAAGGTATTGGGTAGATGGTGGGAATATTTTGAGGAACTTTTAAATCTCAACGAAGAAAGGGAGGCGGTAATTTCATGCACTGGCCAGGGAGGTATAAGATCTTTTAGGAGTGAAGAAGAGCAGGATGTGAGTGTGGGGGAAGTGTGTGAAGCATTACGTAGAATGAAAGGGGATAAAGCAGCTAGAACTGACTTGATCATGACAGAAATGTTAAAAGCGGGGGGATATAGTGTTGGAGCGGTTGGTATTTTTGTTTAATAAATGTATGAAAGAGGGGAAGGTACCTAGGGATTTTCAGATAGCAAGTATAGTTCCTTTATATAAAGGGAAGGGGGACAAGAGATTGTAAAAATTATAGAGGAATAAGTTTACTGAGTATACCAGAAAAAAGTGTACAGTAGGGTTATTATTAAAAGAAGTAGAGGTAAGACAGAGAGTAGGAATGCAGATGAGCAAGGAGGCTTTAGAGTGGGTAGGGGATGTTTAGATCAAATATTTACACTGAAGCATATATTTGAAGATAGGGAAGCTGTGATTTCGTGTATAGGGCAAGGAGGAATAACATCTTGTAGGAGTGAGGAAGAGCCAGTTGTGAGTGTGGGGGAAGTTCGTGAGGCAGTAGGTAAAATGAAAGGGGGTAAGGCAGCCGGGATTGATGGGATAAAGATAGAAATGTTAAAAGCAGGTGGGGATATAGTTTTGGAGTGGTTGGTGCAATTATTTAATAAATGTATGGAAGAGGGTAAGGTACCTAGGGATTGGCAGAGAGCATGCATAGTTCCTTTGTATAAAGGCAAAGGGGATAAAAGAGAGTGCAAAAATTATAGGGGGATAAGTCTGTTGAGTGTACCTGGTAAAGTGTATGGTAGAGTTATAATTGAAAGAATTAAGAGTAAGACGGAGAATAGGATAGCAGATGAACAAGGAGGCTTTAGGAAAGGTAGGGGGTGTGTGGACCAGGTGTTTACAGTGAAACATATAAGTGAACAGTATTTAGATAAGGCTAAAGAGGTCTTTGTGGCATTTATGGATTTGGAAAAGGCATATGACAGGGTGGATAGGGGGGCAATGTGGCAGATGTTGCAAGTGTATGGTGTAGGAGGTAGGTTACTGAAAGCAGTGAAGAGTTTTTACGAGGATAGTGAGGCTCAAGTTAGAGTATGTAGAAAAGAGGGAAATTTTTTCCCAGTAAAAGTAGGCCTTAGACAAGGATGTGTGATGTCACCGTGGTTGTTTAATATATTTATAGATGGGGTTGTAAGAGAAGTAAATGCGAGGGTCTTGGCAAGAGGCGTGGAATTAAAAGATAAAGAAGCACACACAGGGTGGGAGTTGTCACAGCTGCTCTTTGCTGATGACACTGTGCTCTTGGGAGATTCTGAAGAGAAGCTGCAGAGATTGGTGGATGAATTTGGTAGGGTGTGCAAAAGAAGAAAATTAAAGGTGAATACAGGAAAGAGTAAGGTTATGAGGATAACAAAAAGATTAGGTGATGAAAGATTGAATATCAGATTGGAGGGAGAGAGTATGGAGGAGGTGAACGTATTCAGATATTTGGGAGTGGACGTGTCAGCGGATGGGTCTATGAAAGATGAGGTGAATCATAGAATTGATGAGGGAAAAAGAGTGAGTGGTGCACTTAGGAGTCTGTGGAGACAGAGAACTTTGTCCTTGGAGGCAAAGAGGGGAATGTATGAGAGTATAGTTTTACCAACGCTCTTATATGGGTGTGAAGCATGGGTGATGAATGTTGCAGCGAGGAGAAGGCTGGAGGCAGTGGAGATGTCATGTCTGAGGGCAATGTGTGGTGTGAATATAATGCAGAGAATTCGTAGTTTGGAAGTTAGGAGGAGGTGCGGGATTACCAAAACTGTTGTCCAGAGGGCTGAGGAAGGGTTGTTGAGGTGGTTCGGACATGTAGAGAGAATGGAGCGAAACAGAATAACTTCAAGAGTGTATCAGTCTGTAGTGGAAGGAAGGCGGGGTAGGGGTCGGCCTAGGAAGGGTTGGAGGGAGGGGGTAAAGGAGGTTTTGTGTGCGAGGGGCTTGGACTTCCAGCAGGCATGCGTGAGCGTGTTTGATAGGAGTGAATGGAGACAAATGGTTTTTAATACTTGACGTGCTGTTGGAGTGTGAGCAAAGTAACATTTATGAAGGGATTCAGGGAAACCGGCAGGCCGGACTTGAGTCCTGGAGATGGGAAGTACAGTGCCTGCACTCTGAAGGAGGGGTGTTAATGTTGCAGTTTAAAAAGTGTAGTGTAAAGCACCCTTCTGGCAAGACAGTGATGGAGTGAATGATGGTGAAAGTTTTTCTTTTTCGGGCCACCCTGCCTTGGTGGGAATCGGCCAGTGTGATAATAATAAAAATTCAGATAAAGGTAGGGAAGTTTTCATTGCATTTATGGATTTAGAAAAGGCAAATGATAGAGTGGATAGGGTAGCAATGTGGCAGATGCTGCAAGTATATGGAGTAGGTAGTAAGTTACTAAATGCTGTAAAGAGTTTTTATGAGGATAGTGTGGCTCATGTTAGGGTGTGTAGGAGAGAGGAAGATTACTTCCTGGTAAAAGCAGGTCTTAGACAGGGATGTGTTATGTCACCATGGTTGTTTAATATATTTATAGATGGGGTTGTAAAAGAAGTAAATGCTAGGGTGTTCGGGACATGGGTGGAATTAAATTATGGGGAATTAAATACAAAGTGAGAGTTGACACAGTTCCTTTTTGCTGATGATACTGTGCTTATGAGAGACTCTAAAGATGCAAAGGTTAAAGGATGAGTTTGGGAGGGTGTGTAAAGGTAGAAAGTTGAAAGTGAACATAGATAAAAGTAAGGAGATGAGGGTAACAAATGATTTAGATAAAGAAAAATTTAATATCACATTAGAGAGAGGGAGTATGGAAGAAGTGAATGTTTTCATATATTTGGGAGTTGACTTGTCAGCAGATGAGTTTATGAAGGATGAGGTTAACCACAGAACTGATGAAGGAAAAAAGGTGAGTGGTGCATTGAGGTATCTGTGGAGACAAAAAAAAAAGTTGTCCATGGAGGCAAAGAAGTGAATGTACGAAAGTATAGTGGTACCAACACTCTTATATGGGTGTGAAGCTTGGGTTGCAAATGCTGCAGTGAGGAGGTGACTGAAGGCAGTGGAGATGTCCTGTCTAAGGGCAATGTGTGGTGTAAATATTATGCAGAGAAGTCGGAATGTGGAAATTAGGAGGAATGAGTTACTAAAAGTATTAGTCAGATGGTTGAAGAGGGGTTGTTGAAGTGGTTTGGTCATTTAGTGAGAATGGATCAAAGTAGAATGACTTGGAGAGCGTATAAATCTGTAGGGGAAGGAAGATGGGGTAGGGGTCGTCCTCAAAAAGGTTGGAGGGAGGGGGTTAAGGAGCTTTTTTGAGTGAGGGGCTCGGACTTCCAGCAAGCATGCATGAGCATGTTAGATAGGAGTGAATGGAGAGGAATGGTTTTTGGGGCCTGACAAGCTGTTGGAGTGTGAGCAAGGTAATATTTAGTGAAGGGATTCAGGGAAACTGGTTATTTTTATATAGCTGGACTTGAGTACTGGAAATGGGAAGTACTATGCTTGCAATTTAAACAAGGGGTTTGGGATATTGGCAGTTTGGAGGAGTATGTTTATATATCTATACATATATGCTTCTAAACTGTTTTATCTAGGCACCTCTGCAAAGACAGTGATTATGTGTGAGTGAGGTGAAAGTGTTGAATGATGATGAAAGTATATTCTTTTTGGGGATCTTTTTTCTTCCTTTTTGGGTCACCCTGTCTAGCTGGGAGACGGCCGACTTGTTGAGAGAAAAAAAAATCTAGAAAACTGATACAATAACTGTAGAGGTATGAAGCTTGCTCAGTTCCTACTCAGTATTACAAAAACAATAAATAGCTTATCCTCTCTAATAAGTAACCTTGAAATAAAGTCAATTAGTGTACAGAAAATATTTTAAGATAATAACTACTGTAGTTTTTATTTGTTGCAAAATTGTTAACAAGCACTACACATGCCACTTCTGAAATGTCTTCAAAGATACTGGCTAATAAACAAATATTTATTGTTAACCACAATACTTGTCTTTTTTACTTATACTGCCTTTACTTTACACCAAACTCAACATCTTTAAATAAGCACACATTATGAATTACCATACACTGAGCATAATCACAAATGAATACCTTCAGCACTTTCCGAAAGTATGAACTGCAAGCAGACAACACCAATTTATGAGCACGGATGGTGCGTCCTTCACAAGCCACAGTTACATCTAGAAAGTCTTCATCATAACGCAGAGATTCAAGTGCTGAGGTCACCGAATCACTGTAGTTATGCCACCGCAGCCAACACCTTCGTGGCTCCCCCATCCTATGGAGAACAGAAAATAGGCATTTAGTATTACTGTACATAGTGCTCTAGTGTAACACGAGAAATAATTAAATGCATTCACACAGCAATATGTGGCACAGCATAATAGGTATAAATGTAAAGCAATCAGTGTACGGTTTATGATATTTCTTTTAAGGCCATAATACACTTGGCATTTTGGGCAATTCTAAATGCAATCAAAAAGAGTATTTAACACATATTACATAGAACTACACTCTTAAGGCAGACAGTAAAGATCTGTTACCAATACGGCATACACCCCCACCTTGTACAGTTTTAAAATGAATCTTCTCTGATGCAGAATAAAGGAATCAGGAGAGCTGGATGTCAAGCCTCTAAAACTCCTTATTACCAATATTGGAGCAACACATACTGGCCTAACTGCTTTTTTTTTTATGCCCAGCCAGGGTTTATGCCCATCCAGTGGCCCATGGCCTGGTAGGCACAGCTCTCGCTTCACATGCTGAGGGTCCGTGGTTCGATTCCCAGCAAGGGCATGTTTCCTTACACCTGTTGTCCCTGTTTACCCATCAGTAAAATGGGTACCTGGGTGTTAATTGATTAGTGTGGGTCGCATCCTGGGACAAAATTGACCTAATTTGCTGAAAATGTTCTGCATAACAAGGGGCTTTCTATATAGTAGTATGTCACTAATGTCAGTTAGGCCTATATACCTTGTACATGTAGATATAAAGACATTATTATTAACCACAGGACAGGCACAAGCCAGGAACCGTACTTTCTTTCGAACAGTGACAACTAAGTCCAAACATCTTATTTGATATTTACAGAGAATTTTGACGTAATCCCCTCGTGTCTACTCAAGATAGTGGCAGTGTTGGCAAGTCGGGAAGTATGGTAGCGAAACAGAAGGTAAGGGGACAGTGTTGGTGAAACAGGAGGTATGGTGGCAGTGCTGGAGAGACAGGAGGCATGGTGACGTTTGGGAGAAGGAGGATGGTAAAGTTTGGTGAGACGGAGGATGTGACTTTGGTGAGCGGAGGAGGGTAAAGTATTGGTGAAAAAGGGAGGGCTTTGGTGAGAAGGGGTTTGTGTGAGACGGGGGTATGGTGACAGTTTTGAGACAGGAGGTATGGTGACAGTGTTGGTGAGCAGGGGGTAGGTGACATTTCTTGAGACAGGAGGATGGTAAAGTGTGGTGAGACAGGAGGTATGGTAAAGTGTGGTGAGACAGGAGTATGGTGACGGGCTGGTAAGACAGGAGGTATGGTGACAGTTTGGGGAGATAGAGGTATGGTAAAGGTTTGGGTGAGACAGGAGGTATGTGACATGTTTTGGTGAGAACAGGAGGTATGTGAACAGTTTGGTGAGAAAGGAGGTATGGTGACATTTGGTGAGACAGGAGGTAGGTGACAGTGGGTGAGACAGGAGGTATGGTGACAGTGTTGGTGAGACAGGAGGTATGGTGACAGTGTGGTGAGACAGGAGGTATGGTGACAGTGCTGGTGAGACAGGAGGTATGGTGACAGTGTGGGTGAGACAGGAGGTATGGTGACAGTGTTGGTGAGACAGGAGGTATGGGAACAGTGTTGGTGAGACGGGAGGTATGGTGACAGTGTTGGTGAGACAGGGGGGTATGGTAAAGTGTTGGTGAGACAGGAGGTATGGTGACGGGTTTTGGGTGAGACAGGAGGTATGGTGACAGTGTTGGTGAGACAGGAGGTATGGTGACAGTGTTGGTGAGACAGGAGGTATGGTGACAGTGTTGGTGAGACAGGAGGTATGGTGACAGTGTTGGTGAGACAGGAGGTATGGTGACAGTGTTGGTGAGACAGGAGGTATGGTGACAGTGTTGGTGAGACAGGAGTACCATGGCTCCACCAACCATAAACTCTACCTCTACAGATATACTTCACGCTCTAGTTTCTTTCATCTTGCAGTTTTCTAGCTTCAACAGGGTAAAGAGCCACCCAGCCCACCACTCTTGCAGTTACCTGTGGCACGATAAGTCACATAACACAGAGTTACAACGTGTATAAGGAGAAATAACGAGCCACTGCTTGGCTCTCCAGCAGGGCTCCTCCGATTGTTTACATGATCGCTGTTCATGTAGCCTCAGTTTTGAAGCTCCCCGGCCATGCCTTGCACTTTATACGGGCAGTGCGAGGTCATAAGGACCAAAAGTCCCTAGTTAGAAGTTAAAATGGATGAATGAGGGTGTCACAAACCTGCCACACAGTGTTTGACCTCGCCTGACCTATCCCCAAGGTAAATAAGCAGGAAAAACACCTCGCGCCACCCTGTGTGCCCCAACATTTGTAACACGAAATTACACTCTTCGAAAAATCTTGTTTTGACTACTTTTTCCTTACTGTGAGGGTTACTGATGGTGTATATATTTTTTGCACAATTACTAATTTGTTCTTTCATTTCTCTGTAAGCTTCATGATTGTGAGTTATTGATAATGTTCTCATCTATTTTTCAGTATTGGAACTTAGTTAGCAAAGGAAACAATTTTTCAGCTGACTGCTATGAACAGTATATAGCTTCATCCTGCTGGTTTAAGGAATTTATAGAATAGCTTTTATAACTGCCAAGCGACTTCCTTTGGAACTCTTTCGAAGTCAATTTGGGAAAGTTATAAAGTATAATGAAAGACTAAATGGGGAGGTGTTAATAACAAAAGTTATCCTTGTTGTAATAGATTAAAATATCACTTTAGATTAATTTCCTGTTTTATACTCTTTGAATTTGCATCTGATTTCTTATACATGTATTTATTAAAAACATAACTTAAATCAATCAGAAATAATCATATGTCATTAATAAAAGTTGTCACAAACATTGAATGAAACAATTCAAATAAATAATTTAAATACTAGCAAATAATCTACACATACCACACTTGACATACACCAGCATCACATACATACAACCTTCACATACTCCCACATCATACACACCTGCCAACATGCACGAATATCACATAATACGTAAATAACAACACTCTAGGTATACCCAACGTGCTGGGTATGGACCAGTATGTTAGGCAGGATGCTCCTTGGCATGTGCATTGCTTCCTCGACAAGCATCAGGATTCTCTTACCTGTAATATTACACTCAAAACTAAGTGCTAAACCCACAAGGGTCATACAGCGGTGCCTTAACAGCCCATGATACACCGTCTGACTACCATTTCGCTTCATACACTTCTTTAATAAATATTTTAACTGTAAGTATGTCTTCCTGGAGTACCTGGAGTTTACCTGGAGAGGTTCGGGGGTCAACGCCCCCGCGGCCCGGTCTGTGACCAGGCCTCCTGGTGGAGCAGCGCCTGATCAACCAGGCTGTTGCTGCTGGCTGCACGCAAACCAACGTACGAGCCACAGCCCGGCTGATCAGGAACTGACTTTAGGTGCTTGTCCAGTGCCAGCTTGAAGACTGCCAGGGGTCTGTTGGTAATCCCCCTTATGTGTGCTGGGAGGCAGTTGAACAGTCTCGGGCCCCTGACACTTATTGTATGGTCTCTTAACGTGCTAGTGACACCCCTGCTTTTCATTGGGGGATGGTGCATCGTCTGCCAAGTCTTTTGCTTTCGTAGTGAGTGATTTTTGTGTGCAAGTTCGGTACTAAATCCCCTAGGATTTTCCAGGTGTATATAATCAGTATCTCTCCCTCCTGCGTTCCAGGGAAACAGGTTTAGACACCTCAAGCGCTCCCAGTAATTGAGGTGTTTTTTCTCCGTTATGCGCGCCGTGAAAGTTCTCTGTACATTTTCAGGTCGGCAATTTCACCTGCCTTGAAAGGTGCTGTTAGAGTGCAGCAATATTTCCCGCCTAGATAGAACAAGTGACCTGAAGAGTGTCATCATGGGCTTGGCCTCCCTAGTTTTGAAGGTTCTCATTATCCATCCTGTCATTTTTCAGCAGATTTGCGATTGATACAATGTTATGGTCCTTGAAGGTGAGATTTCCCCCGACATAATCACTCCCAGGTCTTTGACGTTGGTGTTTCGCTCTATTTTGGGCCAGAATTTGTTTTGTACTCTGATGAAGATTTAATTTCCTCATGTTTACCATATCTGAGTAATTGAAATTTCTCATCGTTGAACTTCATATTGTTTTCTGCAGCCCACTGAAAGATTTGGTTGATGTCCGCCTGGAGCCTTGCAGTGTCTGCAATGGAAGACACTGTCATGCAGATTCGGGTGTCATCTGCAAAGGAAGACACGGTGCTGTGGCTGACATCCTTGTCTATGTCGGATATGAGGATGAGGAAAAAGATGGGAGCTAGTACGTGCCCTTTTGGAACAGAGCTTTTCACCGTAGCTGCCTCGGACTTTACTCTGTTGACGACTACTCTCTGTGTTCTGTTAGTGAGGAAATTATAGATCCATCGACCGACTTTTCCTGTATTCCTTTAGCGCGCATTTTGTGCGCTATTAAAGCCATGGTCACACTTGTCGAAGGCTTTTGCAAAGTCTGTATATTATTACATCTGCATTCTTTTTGTCTTCTAGTGCATTTAGGACCTTGTCGTAGTGATCCAGTAGTTGAGACAGACAGGAGCGACCTGTTCTAAACCCCTTTTTGCCCTGGTTGTGTAACTGATGGGTTTCTAGATGTGGTGATCTTGCTTCTTAGGACCCTTTCAAAGATTTTTATGATATGGGATGTTAGTGCTATTGGTCGTAGTTCTTTGCTGTTGCTTTACTGCCCCCTTTTGGGGGAGTGGCTATGTCTGTTGTTTTTAGAAACTGAGGGACGACCCCCGTGTCCATGCTCCCTCTCCATAGGATGGAAAAGGCTCGTGATAGGGGGTTCTTGCAGTTCTTGATGAACACAGAGTTTTCCCTGAGTCTGGCCCTGGGGCAGAGTGCATGGGCATGTCATTTATTTGCCTGTTCGAAGTCATTTGGCGTCAGGATAACATCGGGGTAGGCTTGTGTAATCAAATTTTGTGGCTCTCTCATAAAAAATTCATTTTGAAACTTCGACTCTCAGTCTGGTTAGCGGCTTGCTAAAAACTGAGTCTATTGGGACTTGAGTAGCTCACTCATTTCCTTGTTGTCATCTGTGGGAGGACCCATCTTGTTTTAAGTAGGGGCCCAATACTGGACGTTGTTCTCGATTTTGATTTGGCATAGGAGAAGAAATACTTTGGGTTTCTTTCGATTTCATTTATGGCTTTAGTTCTTCCCGCGATTCCTGACTCCTAAAGGTTCTTTTAGCTTAAGTTCGATGCTTGCTTTTTCTCCTGACCAGTGTCTCCCTGCGCATTTCAGATATATGACCTTTTTTAAAGCCGCTCTGTTATTCTTTTCCCGTCGCCTGAAAAGGGGAGCGCCTGTCCCCCTTTCTATTTTACTCTACTCCTCCTTTTTCTTAGAGAATAAGCCTTGTGCATACATCGAGTGCCACCGAGTTAATCTGTTCTAGCATAAGTTTTGGGTCTGTGTTGCTTAGTTATCTTCCCAGCTTATATCGGTTAGGAACTTGGTTTACTTGTTCCCACTTATTTTTTTTGTTTTTGGAAGTTGAATTTGGTGAATGCTCCCTCGTGACTAGTCTCTTTTTTGTCGGTCTGGGCTCCACGCATACATGTCTGAACCTCAATTATGTTGTGATCTGAGTATATTGTTTTTGATAGGGTGACATTCTTATCAGATCATCATTGTTAGTGAAGATGAGTCTAGTGTATTCTCCAGTCTAGTAGGCTCTATTATTTGCGGGTTTAAATTGAATTTTGTGCAAGTCCAACCGATAAAAAGCTGGGAAGATATACTAAGCAAAAACAGACCCAAATTTAAATGCCTAGAACAGTTTAACTGGGTTTGGCACTCGATGTATGCACAAGGCTTATTCCTCTAAGAAAAAGGAGGAGTAGATGTAAAATAAAAGAGACAGGCGCTCCCTTTACAGGCGACGGAAAGAATAACAGGGGCGGCTAAAAAGAGGTCAAAAATTTTCTGAAATGCGCAGGAGACACTGGTCAGAGAAAATAGCAAGCATCGAACTTAAGCTAAAAGAATCCTTTAGGAGTCGGAATCGGGGGAAAACTAAAAGCCATAAATGAAATCGAAAGAAACCCAAAGTATTTCTTCTCCTATGCCAAATCAAAATCGAGAACAACGTCCAGTATTGGGGCCCCTACTTAAACAAGATGGGTCCTACACAGATGACAGCAAGGAAATGAGTGAGCTACTCAAGCCCCAAATATGACTCAGTTTTTAGCAAGCCGCTAACCAGACTGAGAGTCGAAGACCAAAATGAATTTTTTATGAGAGAGCCACAAAATTTGACTAACACAAGCCTATCCGATGTTATCCTGACGCCAAATGACTTCGAACAGGCGATAAATGACATGCCCATGCACTCTGCCCCAGGGCCAGACTCATGGAACTCGTGTTCATCAAGAACTGCAAGAAGCCCCTATCACGAGCCTTTTCCATCCTATGGAGAGGGAGCAGGGACACGGGGTCGTCCCTCAGTTACAAAAAAACAACAGACATAGCCCCACTCCACAAAGGGGGCAGTAAAGCAACAGCAAAGAACTACAGACCAATAGCACTAACATCCCATATCATAAAAATCTTTGAAAGGGTCCTAAAAGCAAGATCACCACCCATCTAGAAACCCATCAGTTACACAACCCAGGGCAACATGGGTTTAGAAACAGGTCGCTCCTGTCTGTCCTCAACTACGGATCACTACGAAAAGGGTCCTAAATGCACTAGAAGACAAAAAGAATGCAGATGTAAAAATATACAGACTTTGCAAAAGCCTTCGACAAGTGTGACCAGGCGTAATAGCGCAAAAAAATGCGCGCTAAAGGGTAACAGGAAAAGTCGGTCGATGGATCTATAATTTCCTCACTAACAGAACACAGAGATAGTCGTCAACAGAGTAAAGTCCCAGGCAGCTACGGTGAAAAGCTCTGTCCCCAAGGCACAGTACTAGCTCCCATCTTGTTCCTCATCCTCATATCCGACAAGACAAGGGTTCAGCCACAGCACCGTGTCTTCCTTTGCAGATGACACCCGAATCTGCATGACAGTGTCTTCCATTGCAGACACTGCAAGGCTCCAGCGGACTCAACCAAATCTTTTAGTGGGCTGCAGAAAAAAAATATAAGTTCAACGATGAGAAAAATTTTAATTACTCAGATATGGTAAACATGAGGAAATTAAATCTTCATCAGAGTACAAAACAAATTCCTGGCCACAAAAAAAGAGCGAAACACCCAAAGTCAAAGACCTAGGAGTGATTATGTCGGAGGATCTCACCTTCAAGGACCATAACATTGTATCAATCGCATCCCGCTAGAAAAATGACAGG